AAAAAAGGGGGAAAAAAAAAAAAAAAAAAAAAAAAAGGGGAGAAAAAAAAAAAAAAAAAAAAAAAAGGGGAGAATATAAATAAAAAAAAAAGGGGAGAATATAAATGTATATAATTTACCTTCTATGTCCCTATCCTTCTTATATTTAATCATATTATTAAGGAGACAACTAATAAATAATAAAGAAAAAAGAGTAAATGTTGCTGCTGCTGCTGCATCTATATAAGGATAAGAAGCTATATATAATAAATAAGGAGACACTTTTGCTGCTGCTGTACCCTCCAGCAGCAAACTTATATCCCTTATATGTTTACCCTGCATGCATGCATGCATGCATACAAATAGCAACAAATATCCATGCATAAATACCCTAATACCCCAATTGCATGCATGCATGCATGCATGCATGCACGTTTATGCATGCATGCGTACCCTAACACCCCAACTGCATGCATGCATACATATACGCATGCATGCATACATTTACGCATGCATACATACATGCATGCATGCATGCATGCATGCATAATAACTTACTATTTGTAGGGCATGAGGGGAGAAAGAAGAAGAAGAAAGAGAAGAAACAAAAGCCCTAACCTCTGCATGCAACCAATTAGATCGAGGTAATCCATATAATATACCTGCAACTGCAGCAGCAGCAACAGCAACAACAGCAGCAGCAGCAGCAGCAGCAGCAGCAGATGGTGGTGGTTGCACAAAGATACAATGCAGTGAGCTATACACTGCAGCTAGCTAGCTAGCTAGCTAGGTATTCAGCTGCATAGCTATCTAGCTAGCTAGCTATGTAGCTAGCTGGCTGGCTAGCTGCATGCATGCATGCATGCATGCATGCATAGGGTATTAGCTAGCCAGCTAGCTATATATAGCTAGCTGTAGGGAGGAGGCATGTACCTGCAGCAAGGACTATAAGAGCAGCATAGAAGCAGAGGTCAACAAAGAAGCAGCAGCGAGACCCCACAGTGCTGCTGCTGTCTCCTTTTGCTGCTGCTGCTGCTGCTGCACCATCTGCTGCTGCTGCTGCTGCTGAGGGACTATCTAACGATCCAACGCTGGTGCTGCGCGCTTCTGCTGCTGCTGAGTGCGCCTTCGCCTCCGCGGGCTTCATGGTGAGTCTGCTGCTGCTGCTGCAGGTGCTTCTGTTGCTACTGTTGGGTCTACTATTGTTCGTGTTGTTGCTGCTGCTGCTGCTGCAGTGTTGCTGTGTCTGCTGCTCTTGCTGCAGCTCCTGCTGCAGTGTCGCTCGCGACAGTACACCGACGCGCGAAGAGGTAAAGAGATTTAGAGGAGTCAGACAAGAAGACACCTTAGGCTGCAGCAGCAGCAGCTGCAGCAGCAGCAGCAGCAGCAGCAGCAGCAACCCCCCGCCGGGTAAAAGGGAAGTGCAGATATAAAGGAGAGGGTTTGTCTTTAGAAGGTAAAAACACACAAAGACATGCAGCAAAAAAAAAAGAATCTGCTGTTGCTGCTGCTGCTGCTGCGGCCGCTGCTGCTGCTGTGCCGCTCCTGCTGCTGCTGCTGCTGCTGCTGCAGCAGGAGCGGCAGCGGCCCTTTGCTTATATATTGTAGATCATGACGGCCCACTCTTGCGGTGTCTGTACAGTTATTATTTATTTATTTACTGCTGATTATATTTTATATAATAAATAAAAAGAATAAATAAATAAAATAAATAAATAAATAAATATATATACACCGTAAATAGCAGCAGCAGCAGCAGCAGCAGCAGCAGCGCCCCCCAGCTGCAACAACACCCCTACAGAATCGGCAGCACCGACTGCAGCAGCAGCAGCGCAAGCAGCAACTGCTGCTGCTGCTGCTGTTGCAGCAGCAAGTGGTCAACTGATCTGCAACTGCTGCTGTTGCTGCTGCTGAATAAGCACAGAAGGAAAACGAGACATATAAGCAGCAGCAGCAGCAGCAACAACAGCAGCAGCAGCAGCAGCAGCACCTCAGGAAGAGACTGCCCTTAACAAAGGATATTGAGTTGCTGCATCCAGCAGCAACTGCTGCAGCAGCAACTGCAGCAACAGCACAAAGTGCAGCAGCAACAGCAGCAGCACGAACTGCTGCAGCACGAATTATAAGAGCACGAACAGCAGCAGCACGAACTGTAAGAGCACGAACTATAGCAGCAGCAACTGCAGCGGCAGCAAGTGCAGCAGCAGCAACTGCAACAATAGCAACTGCAGCAGCAACAACTGCAGCAATAGCAACTGCACCAACACCACTGCACCAGCAGCAGCAATTGGTGCAGCAGCAGCAACAGCTGCAGCAACAGCAACAACAGCAGCAGCAGCAGCAGGTATATATACTTGTGTCTCCTATGTTGCTGTGCAGCAAAAGGAGACAGGGGAAGTTGCTGCTGCGTATTGCTGCAGTCTTCTGTCCCCTTTTATAGATAATAACTAATAAGGAGACACAAGTGTGTCTCCTTTTTATTTATTATTGTCTCTGCTGCTACCTGCTGCTGCTGCTGCTGCTGCTGCTGGTTGCTGCTAACTGCTGCTAGCTACTACTTGCTGCTGCTAGCTCCTGTTGCTGCTGGTTGCTTCTAGCTGCTGCTACTGGCTTAGATATGTAACAAGCGTCCTGCATGCAGGAGACAGTTGCATGCATG